GCGGGCTCAGCACTTCGTTTTTCTTCAACATCTGGAAGTACTGCCCTGCGGGTCCTGAACCTTGTGACCCTTGTAATAATGGGAAGGTCGTCGTCGTCGTCGTCTGAATTTGAGGAAATTCCGATGGCAGTAGAAGAACCTCTGGGGCTGGTGGTATGGCCGGTGGGCCCTTAAAAGAAAAAAGGTTATGTGATTACCAAAGTAAATTTAAGAAGTCCAAGGAATGTGATTTCCGGTTAGTGATGCTTCCAGCCCAATCTGCATCTGTATGTACTTCCACTTGAAGATGTCCTTGTTTTTTAAATATCAAGCCTTTATCCGGAGTTCTCTTTAGATACCTTAGGATCCTGTATGCTTCTTCAAAGTGCTCCTTTCCTGGTGAATGCATGAATTGGCTTACTCTGCTTACTGCGAATGCTATGTCGGGATGTGTGAGATTAGTATATCAGTCTTCCAACAAGTCTCTGAAACTGGTCTATATTCACCACATCTTCAATTCTAGCATGATGTAGCTTCAAGTTGAGCTCGGTTGGTGTTTCAGCAGCTTTACATCCGAGCAAGCTTGTTTCTTTGAGCAAGTCAATTGCGTACTTGCGCTGAGTGACAAAAATGCCCTCCTTAGATGTAGTGAACTCCATTCCAAGAAAGTATCTTAGTGCTCCAGGACCTTTATCTCGAAATCTTTAGCAAGTCCCTTCTTTAACTTTTTCGATTCGGCACTATCATTACCTATTAGAATTATGTCATCTACATAAACAATCAAGCTAGCTACTTTACCTTCTCTTGAGTGTTTATAGAACATAGTATGGTCTGCTTGGCTTTAACTGTATCCGAGGTTTTTTACAACCTTCCCAATGCGTTCAAACCACGCCCTTGGGAATTGTTTGAGGCCGTATAGAGACTTGTTTAATTTGCAGATTTTATCTATCCCAAACTTCTTTTCAAAACCTGAAGGTAGGTTCATATAGACTTCTTCTAGATTTCCATTTACAAAGGCATTTTTTACATTTAATTGATGTAGAGGCCAGCTGGAATTAGCTGCTAGTGATAGTAAAACCCGAATTGAGTTCATCTTGGCAACTAGAGCAAAGGTTTCTTGGTAGTCAATCCCGAGGGTTTGTGTAAACTTTTTTGCCACGAGTCTCACCTTATATCTTTCCACGCTACCATCAGCTTTGCACTTCACTGTAAATACCCATTGGCACCCTACTGTCTTTTTGTCCTTAGGCAGATTCACTAACATCCAAGTACTGTTCTTTTCTAGAGCATTCATCTATTCCATAATTGTTGATTTCCAATTAGGATCATCCAAGGCTTCCTTAATAATTCTAGGAACAAACAGGTTAGATATTTTTGAAGTAAATGCCCTATGACTTTTGTAAAGTTTATCATAAGATAAATATTTCGCAATGGAATGTTGGGTACAATTTCGAATTCCTTTCCTAATGGCTAGAGGAAGATCACAATCTGTGGGTATAACATTAGGTAAAACCGCTGAAGGAAATGGAGATGAAGTAGAGATAGATGATGGAGGAACCAGATTAGGAATACCCAAGGTTCTGAAAAGCGGTTGCGGTCGTCGTAACGGTGGCGGTGGCACGGTTGCGGTTGCAGGGTGTAAAGGCCGTAGCGTAACGGTTGCGGTTATTGGAACCGTGAATTTTTTTATTTTTCGCACAATTTGAAAAAAACTTACTGATATGCACATTTTTTTCCATGATCATATCTATTGGGTTTTAAAATAAATATTGATCAATTTTTGTAAATTTTTAAGTTTGATGTAATATATTTCATATTTTTAAATCACTATAAACTGAGTTTTTTACATTTTATTTTAATAATTAATGACTTTATATTCTACAAAAAATCAATCACTAACTATTATATATAAGATAAACAATGACAAAATTATTATTATTATTATTATTATTATTATTTTCAAATAATATATAGATAAACACACAGAAACAAAATAGTTGAGTGATAGCAGCTGAATAGAATAGTATAGGTCTTACAGCTTCAACAAATCAATAACATGTTCTTCATCTTCCCTCTTCTTTCTCTCTATCTCTTCCTCCTCCATCTTCTCTCTTTATCTTCCCTCTTCTCTCTCTGACTCTCTTCTCTCATTTTCAACTTTTTTTTTTTTTTGTGTTTTTTCAAAAGAAGCAATTCGGAACCGTTATATAAAGGTGCAAAACAGGCCGTTACGGCACCATTACGACCGCTATAGTGGCCGCTACGGCCGACACACCAATGAATCTCAATCACACTGCAAAAGCAGCCGTAACGGGTGGCGGTAACCACCACAACAACGTAACGGTTGCGGCCGCTTTTTAAAACCTTGGGAATACTTGAACTACTTGAGGGACCTTTTTTAAGAGATTCTGATTGGCTTTGTGGTATAGTGGTTGGCTAGTCTTTACTTTTTCTTTGAGTATTTTTCTAAGCATAAACCAAAAACTCAGGTTCGGGAACAGTTTGTTCCAATTGTAGTATTTCTCCCCCTGCTTGTGAGCCTTCTATGTTTGGAGAAATTGGACTGGGATTTCATTCGTTCTCTATATCTTGAATACACTGTTTCTGTTCTTGTTTTTCAGAAAACAAGGGATGGAGATCGAATAGGATTTGGTAAGGGATCCGAAGTTGTCTGCCAAAAATTTTCTTCCTTTCTCTTTTTCTCCCCTTGAAGAGAATTTTTGGTAAAATAGGATTGAGTTTCAAGAAAGGAGACATCTATAATCACCCGAATGTTTTTTGTTTGAGGATTATAGCACTTGTAGCCTCTTTTGTTTGGAGCATACCCGATGAAAACAACACGACAGTGAGAGTTTTTGGATAATTTACTGACAGACAACAACTTGCAGGCCAGTTTAGGAACATGAAGGACAGAGTGAAGAGTAATATTTTCTAAAATTTTTATTTGAACTTTTCCTACAATGGGTGAGAAATTGCCATCAGCAATTCTAACTCTCACTTTCAGAATAAAATAAATAAGTATTGAATAAAGAAGAGAAAGAAGTCATGTGATCAGATGCCCCCGAATCAATGATCCAAGGGACAGAATTTTGACTACAAGATAGAGCCATAAGGATTGCTACCTGTCTGTGCAAGAGAACCACTAGGAGTGCTGGATAAAGAATTGGATTTTAGCAGTTTAAGAAAATAATCCATCTACTCCTTACTGAACAGACTTACTTCAACCTCATTGGGATAGGAGAATGCATGAATTGGTCTGTCACTTGATTTGCAGCTCTTTCAAGTTGCAGGCTTCCCATGGATCTTCTAGCAGTTTTCTCGAGTATGGCGTGGTTTATTGCAATAATCACACCATACTCGAGATTTTTCATTCCTCCATGGTTTAAAAACCTTGTTTGCACTTACATCTGATGTAATCATGGCTGAGTTTTCCACAGGTGTAGCAGCTCCCTTTTTCCCAAGCATCACATTCCTACGGCTTTCTTCTCTCCTAACTTTAGCAAAGACATCACCAAAAGGAGGCAGAGGTTGGCGGCCAATTATTCTCCCTCCGACTTCATCAAATTCAATGTTTAAGCCGGCAAGGAATTTGTAGATACGGTGATCCTCCACCATCTTTCTGTTGTGATTGCAGTCCTCGGTTGACTTCCACTCATAATCATTGAACATGTCCAAATCTCGCCACAACCTTTTCAGAGAATTGAAGTACTTAGTGATACTGTCCTCTCCTTTACGAATGTCACCAAGTTTAATTGTCAACTCATATATTTGGGACTGATTTCCCAAATCCGAATACATCTGGGTGATAGTATCCCAGAGTTCTTTGGCTGTTGGATAACACATATAGTTGGAGCTGATGTCTTCCTCCATGGAATTCACTAACCATGTCATGACCATGGAGTTTTCAGCATCCCTAGTAGCATATGCCGAGTCCTCTTTTGCTGGTGCCTTCTTCTCTCCTGTCAAGTATCTGATCTTTCCTCGGCCCCGAATGTACATCTGGATGGACTGAAACCAACGCAAGAAATTATCACCATTGAGTTTAATGCTGGTGATTTGCACCGAGTGAGAATCAGTGTTGGAGACATGTTTCTCAATGTTTTTCGGTGAAACGGTAACTGTGGATTCAGATGTGGTTTCTGATATGGTGAAGGACAGCTTGCTGGTTCTAGGACTACCTCAGAAGGGTCAGAGAATAAGTCCTTAGCTTTGATACCATGAAAGCTAGAAAGAACAATATTTCTTATTCTCATATTTAAACAATGTACATAGCACCTCTATTTATAGGAGATACAAGGCATAAAATTAGGAATTGATTAGCTACTAATTAGCTACTGATTCTGAGGACTGATTAGCATTTAGCTACTAATTATGATCCTAATAAACTTTCCTATTCTATAGTATTGACTAAATCTAAATGTTTACAGTTGTGATATCCAAAAGAATTCAGCCATATCCTGGAAGAATTATTTTCTTTCCATTTCCAACATTGAATATAATTGATATTTGTTAGTTTTCCTTTTCTGGGCTTCTGTGGCACGTAGGCATTGTTCGTCATGCTATGCTTTTTCAGGGGTAAGTGTTTTATTGCCATAAAAGGGGATTTACAATGAAGCTCATGACATGCCAAAGGCAATACCCCCTCTAAAAGAGAGCTTACAATTCTCTATAAATACTCTAAAAATTACACAACATATTCTAAGTAAATTATTCGATGAATTACTCAGTAAATTCCCAGCAAATTTTTAGTAAATTACTTAGTAAATTCCAAGTAAATTACTCAGTAAATTCACGTAATTTCTCAGCAAATCACTCAGTAAATTATCAGTAAATTCCAAGTAAATCCTCAGTAAATTACTTAGTAAATTCCTCAGTAAATTCTCAATAAATTCCTATTAAATTCTCAGTAAATTACTCAGTAAATTCCCTATAAATTCTTAGTAAATTACTCAATAAATTCTCAGCACATTACTCAGTATATTTTCAACAAATTACGCAGTAAATTATTCAGTAAATTCCAAGTAAATTCTTAGTGAATTACCAGTAAATTATCTATAAATTACTCATTAAATTCTCAGTAAAGTACTCAGTAAACTACACGGTATCTGGTATCCTTATCGGGTTCACTAGGGCTAAGGTTGAACATCCCGCTGCTCACCTACATACATATAAATAAAGAGTGAGCTAACACCCAGTAAATAATACCATAGTAAAGGGGTTGGGTGAATGAGCCCCTTTTAACAGATAAGTATAACTAATCAAATCAGTAAGTATTTTACATCGGAATGACCTTGGGTCCAACGTGCGACAGAACGACCTTAGGTCAAATAGATAGCAGAATATACAGTACAAGTTCAATTATTGTTCAACAGAATGGCCTTCGGCCCAACAATGTACAGAATGACCTCAGGTCCAATAGTCGACAAACTCACCGATCGGATTCATTTATCTCTTATCAGAACGACTTTGGGTCCAATCATTTCCAGTAGCATAATGGCCATTCAACTATTGCAATTGTATATCAATCATTCAAACTTGTGAGAGATTCAATCATATCATATCAGTCAATCAATCTTATCAGAGATTTAGAATGACCTTTAGGTTCATTTTATCAGATGTACGAAACGGCCTTAGGTCCAATTCAGATATATTGAGCAACCTCACTCCATAATTCAGTTGTATAGAATGACCTTGGGTCCATTATTCAATTATACAGAACGACCTTGGGTCCATTTATTATAGTCATGTCATATCATTCGCTTGTACAGATAGCATGTCCTTTAGGCTGCTGGTGACTCATTCACATATATCAAATCATTGATCTAGAAAAACTTACCATATAAGGCCAATCAGAAAAATAAAGTATAAGTAAAATATCTTTACGAAGATATTACTCACAGTGGTCAGATGGCTGAATCATCCTTGTAGTTGACCTTACATAATTCGCAACACATTGGGTCATAATACAATTCAATCCATTCTTAACTTGTTTAATTCTCTTAGGCTTCTTTCATGTTCTTTAATTCATTTAGAATACTCAATGTATGCCTAAGAATGCTCATAAATGAAAAAGAACAGAAATTGAAGCATAAAACAACTTTTCAAAGTTTCCTAGAACGGAGCACTTCGCTTGAGCACAACATTGGTCACTTGAGCGGTTAAACAATTTGCAAGGGGTTCGCTCGAGCAGTCTGTAAAGACTGCAAAAGTACTGAATGCTCGATTTTTACACTCGAGCCAACTTCTTAGTCGCTCGAACCAAGACTAAAAACTAGGGGTGGCCGCTCAAGCGGTCGTTTGGTCACTCGAGCTAACCTCTAATGTCTGCAAAAGTACTAGATGCCTTCAATTTATGCTCGAGCGATAACTTCACCGCTTGAGCGATGCGGTCGATTTTTGGGTTTTTCATAATGCTATTTGGGTTTCAAAACATGGTTTTAAATGATACAACTTGCATGTTATGTCCTATATTTGAGCCATAATCAACTACTAACATTATCATATGAGTCAATTCCACAAGATTGAAGTTCAAATCATCATGAATTCATCATGCAAGCCCTAAATCATGTCAAATTCTTTTTCATATCTCCAAACCCATGAAATCAAATTCCATAACTTCATGAATTGTGTGCAAGCATGTGAAATGTAGCCTCTAATTTCATCTCAAATGGTACAAATGATGCTCAAATTCATGTGACTCAACAAAATTATGCATGCATGTGTGATTTGGCACCAAATTCTTCATGTTAAGTTTATATCTTACATTAATTCACCGATTCTTCTTGAATTCACAAGTTATAAGATCTCAATTCACAATCTAAGGTGTAATTACTCACCTAGAGGCTTTAATTCTCCCAATCCTAGCTAGAACATGAATTACTTTTCACTATCCTCCAATTCACTATGCAAATCCTTCAAGTTGAGCTTCTTTTCTCTCTAATTCTCACTTCTTTCACTCTAGAGTGTATATTTTCAAAATTTTGAGCACATAAGATGAGCTTAAGCACATTTAGGACATATTTATATGTTGGCATAATCAAAATTGCTAATTATGGTTTAGTGCTAATTGATGATGCTTAATTAAATTAATTTAATCTAATTATTTTGATTCGAATCAATTTTTAATTAAATCTCACCGTAGGCTCTAAAAATTATGCTAATCATAATTGTACCGTCAATTTCGGTTTTTGTTGCCTCTACGGCCCTCAATTACAAATTATAGTAGAATACCGAACAGATTTTTCTACGGTGAACAGATATAAATTCAAATGCACAAATAATCACATGTTTAGCACCCAAGATCAAATTAAGCACATAATCACAAGTATAATTAAAAAGTAACAGCATATCACAGAACAGGGTTATCACATAAAGTAGAAATCATAATAGATAATTCATCAATGAACATATATGCACAAATTACACATCAAACACATAATTAGCATTCAAAATTAAATAAATATAAATATACTACGTAATGGCGTTATCACAGGACAAGTGCATGAGTAGAGATGAATCGTGTCTCTATCAGCCTCTACCATTATCCTCCATCCTCCGCCGATTGCCGACAGTTTTTGGTTTTCATAGATGCCTTATCCATTGACGACTCATGGTTTCATGGTCTCTCTCTTTTCTCTCTCTCTCTCTCTCTCTCTAGGTTTCCTTCACTGTTTAGAATAAGTATGGGTTTTTCTACATTTCTCATCAATTAGAGAACCCATTTGAGAATCTAAATTGGTTTTTGTTCTTGCTTTGTCTCTATTTCAGATAACTAATTGATGATGTGTTTGATGCCGTTGAAATTGGTCTCTTATTATTTGCTTTGTATTATTGATTGAAAATTCTGTTATTGGTTGTTAGAAGTTGATTGTATAAGTCGCCTATCAACTGTTGATATTTTGCTCGACTGTGCTATCTATGAACAAAACTCTTCCAATTTCTATGTATTTGGATATAGACATTACTATATTCATTTTTTTAGGCTATTTGATGGATTGATTTGGGTGTGGGTTTGTACTTTAAATGGAGTTGTGTTGTAGAAATGCACAAATTCAATAAGGAAATATCAAAATAACTACCAAATAGAGGATTGACAACAAACCATGAATAACCATTAAATAACCACAATGTATTGACAACAAATCATGAATTCCATGTTATTTCATAAAAAAAAATAATAAAAATGTAGTCCTCTTTTTAATGCCATCCAACTATTTGATATAATGCTTCGTTGACAAAATTGATGATCCACATAAACTGCCCACCTTAGACCATCTCTAATTCTTCATCAATTTTTTTTTTGTCTTATCAAATTTAAATTTGATGAAAAAATTAATGAAAGCCTGTTTTCAACCATTTCATCAAATTTGAAGGTGTTGTTTTGTACCGTGTATTCTTTTTTTTTTTTTTTTAATTTCTTTTATTAGTTACCTAAAAGTCATTCAAACCTGCCCAGTGCACTTGTCAAAAAGTCTTTCTATATTGGACCCATAAATGATGAAAAAATTTAGTGTATTGTTAGTGACTGGTTTGTTTTATAGGGCCTAAGAAGTAGTTAAACTAATATCACAATCCGCTATTATGATTTGTTTATTTTAATGATGGTTGATATTCTTTATTCAAGACCTCATTTCCATTACATTGTTTCTAACTTTAAGATCTTTATTTATTCATTTATGCACTTTTTATTTATTTATTTATAAAACAGAAACGATGTCCATATCAGAAGGAAATTCCTCATCAATTGATTGCGCTCGAACATCAACATTCATTGGCAGCTCTCAAACACCCACACAGGCCAATGGCTCTATTCCGTTCTCATTTGAAAATGACCTTGAGGAAGACAAAGTGGTAGTTGTTAGAACAGATAGACTAAGAAGTGCCGTGTGGAAGCATTTTCTCAAGGTTCAAATTAAAAAAGTGGACAAGGCAAATAAGTAGCTATTGCAAGAAGACTCTTAGGGAAAAATCTCAAAATGGAAACTACACACTTGCGAGACCATTGTAATATTTGTCAAGTATGGAAAGCAATGGAAAGTATGAATGAGAAGGTTCAATCACCAAGCCTTGCAAAGGGAGAGGGGAAAAGGAAACTTGAGGCGTATATTTTTGACCAAGAATTTGCTAGGAAAGAGTTGGCTAACATAATAATCATGCATGAATATTCTCTTTCCATAGTGGAGCATGTTCGATTTAAGAGGTATTCATATGCCCTTCAACCTTTATATAAGATGGTATCTCGTAACATTATCAAGAGTAACATTTTAAAAATATATGATTTTGAGAAGATGAAGACATTGAAGATGATTGAGCAAAATAAAAGTAGAGTTGTCGTCATGATCGATATGTGGACATCTAGTAATCAAAAGAGAGAATTTATGGTTATCACGACACACTTCATTGATGACTATTGGAAATTGCAAAGTCGCATTGTAAGGTAATATATAATATTTGTTATGTCACTTTTTTAACTGTTTTAAACTATTAGTTTATGATTTAATTGTTAGTTTGCCTATTTACTAATTATTATTTATAATTTCTCAATTTAGGTTTGCTTACGTGCCATGCCCACAAATAGCACAAGTGATGTGTGATGAATTGATGGAGACTTTCTTGGATTAGAATTTTGATACGAAGCTTTTGACTATTACGGTTGATAACTATACAAGTAATGATGAGATGATTACAATTATTTTGGGTAAGTTGCATTCTCGTTCTCTCTTGTTGGGTGGAAGTTTATTTCACATACATCGAGCAGCTCCTATTCTTAACTTGATTGTGAAAGATGGGTTAAATGTAATGAAGGAAGGGATTGAAAAAATTGCGGAAAGTATGGTGTATTGGACAACAACACCAAAGAGAGAGGAGAGATTTACAGAAACAACCCAACAACTATGCATCTCTTATTCTAAGAATTGTGTCTTGACTATGTTACTAGGTGGAACTCAACCTTTTTGTTGCTTCAAACTACCATAGAATACAAGTATGTTTTCTTCCATTTGAATACCCGTGACCCCCAATATAAAATTTCAATAAAATAGAGTGATTGAGTATTTGCTAGGAAAATTTGTGAAAAATTGAAAATCTTTTATGACATCACTGAGTTGTTTAGTGGGACTAAGTATCCAACTTCAAATATATATTTTTTCCAAAGGTTTATGAGATTAAAATTGTATTATCTCAATGGATTGTGTGTTTGGACATGGTGATAAAGACTATGGCATTGAATATGGTTGAAAAATACGACAAGTATTTGTTAGTTATTCATGGCATTTTAGGAGTTGCAGTAGTGTTGGACCTAAGGTACAAACTGAATTTGGTAGAATATTATTTTGAAAGAATTTATGGAGATAATTCTAATTTTGAGGTTGAGAGGATTAAGCAATTTTTTATGACATCTAAGCTTGGCCATATTGGTGATTCTTCGAACCATTTTGACTTGGGTTCTAGTGCTCTAGATACCTCTTAGGCTTTGATTTATTTCTTTCTCATAAAAAGAGGCGTAAACCTTTGGATGTGAAATTAGAGATGGATAATTATTTGGAAGAGGGTGTCTTACGAAGAAATCAATACTTTGATATCTTGGTATGATGGAAGTCAAATGAGACAAGTACCCAACTTTACAAGCCATAGCGAGGAATATGTCAACTATACCACTATCCATGGTTGCTTCAAAGTCCGCTTTTAGCACTAGCAGTAGAGTGGTGAGTCCACAATGTAGTAGGCTTTATCCCAAGACCTTGGAAGCTTTGATGTGTGCTCAAAGTTGGCTATGGTCTATTGAGAATGAAGGTAATGGATTTGCTTATTTAGTTTTGTCTTCATCTTGTCTTTCATTTTTATAATTCTTCTAATAGATAGATTTTGTTTTTTCCAAAGTGGTCAATGGAGTCCCAAAAATCAATTGGTTTTGCAAAAATCAATGATGATGATGATGTTGGAGATAATTTCAGCAAATAATTAATTTAAGAAAATAATAAATAAAAAAAATAACAAAATTAAACCTTACAGTACTTCTGCAGATTGTTTGTAAACAAGTTTGTGATTGAGACCAGCGTTTGAGCACTGTGTCTTTAAAACAGAATTTCATCCTCTCCAATGGTACTTGAAAACAATGGACGTCCTATCTCTTGGATACAACAATCACCACAAATGAAGATAGCACACTCTTTGATTGTACAGCGAACCAAAAATATATTTTATACTCACAAAATTCAGACTCATACAGATGAAAAATACATGAAGAATGCTTGAACTTGAGGAGTCTGGAATGAAGAAAATTGGAATAAGGCAGCCTTTATAGAGGCTTTGTTGGCACCTATTTGGTTTGAATAGAAAAGACATGAAGAAGAAGATGACTCTTGGGTCACATCCTTTAAAATAAAGAGATACCATGAAAGTGTTGTACCCTTTCATTCAAATGGAGTCTATTTCAATTCACCACTTCTAAATTTTTCCAACAGATGATGATGGTGGTGAGTCCACTTTAGGGTTGATCATACGGTATTAAACTTGTGATGCAGTTAGATATTTTCTGAATTTTATTTTTTTAGTAGAATATGAAATTTGTAATGTGGGTGGACAAGAATTGAATTATAGTTACATAACAATAACATTAGATGTAAATGAGTTATTTTATTTTGTACATATTTGAAAAATAAGCAAATGGTTCATTGCTCAATATTTATTTTGATAGTCAAGTTTAAAATTTATATTTTGTGGGTTATTTGTTTGTAATTTTATAATCAAGCTGAATTTTTATAAATATATATTTTATAGAAATTTTTTTCAAATTTATACTTTTAAACTTAATTTTTCTATATATTTTATTCAAAAAAGTTTTCAATTGTTTCTAAATAGAATTGCAAAAAAATGAAAAAGAGAAATGGGACTTGAAGAAAAACAATGTCATTGAGAGCAATGATTTGAAAATTGAACTGGTGAACGAACCAGAAAAAGGACCGAGTGGACGGGTCACTGGTTCAACTGTTGGGTCAATCAGAATCAAATCGTGATATATAAATATATTAATAATTATGTATAAATAAAATATAGTTATTAAATTTATAAAAATATATGCTAATATTAATAAATCTTTTAATTTAGGATTTAAAATTATATATGTATACTCTGTTTTTTTTTAATAGATTTTTACTAGAGTGAAAACCATAATAAATAATATATTTTGTCCAATACTTAGGCCTCTTTTGGCAAGGAGATTAAAAGTAATTTTTTGACTTTTAACCTCTTTTAGGTCACATCACCTCTCTATTTTTTATACATTTTTTTTAAAAAAAAGATAAAAATATCTTATGATTAAGCTAAGTTACAGTATATCTTCTAATTTCTATCTTCGCAGACAAGATGACCATAGTTTCCATTATATGCTAATAGAGGATTATTAACAAATTTCTTCCATTTATTAAGCTGATCTCTGAGTGAAAATTTTCTGCACGGCCAAGGTCTTTGATTAAGAAGCAGAAGTCCTGGGTATCCTTGAAATGTTGAAGTTCCTCTGAGGTACATTTTATGCTTGGCGGGAATGCATCTTATTCCTTTCCATTCTAGTAACTTGCTGTCAATTAATACTTCTACAAATGGATGATGCTCTTCCATTACACAAAGTACTAAATGAGCAAGTTTATTCCCTAAATTATCTGTCTGTTTTGGATCTAAAAAAATTATTCTAGAAACAAAACCGTAATCTAACAATTGTACGGCTGTTAGATTATGAGTTTTGCCTCTAATCTCTATCTCTACTAGCTCAAAAGTTGCTAGATTTATCTGGCAAAGATAGATGCGTAAATCGAGATTACACTGACATCTTCCCAAATATTTTGGCCTTTCTCTACATCTTTCTTGTTGTAAACATGGTTGTTCTTCATCATCGTAGAGATAAGTCCATTGATATGCCATACTGGGGCATTGAACTCTTGCTATGGAAAGATCCTAAAGAAACTGTTGTATAATGACTAGCTCACTATTTCTGCTATCTTTGGCTAAGGCGTATATATAAGGTTTAAGGTCTTCTATTTCTTGGCTTTTCTCGCAAAAAAGATTAAATGATAGAATGCCTGAAAAAATACATTCTAGCACTCAATTGTTCAAATTCCTCACTGGTGAGTTGTCTAATTTCTAGGTTTGGAAAGGGAATGGGAGCTTTTTCTAGAGTTAGTATTTAAGCTGGCTGGTTAGGGTTCGAATGGTTGTTCTCAATTATTTTTTCTCGTCTCGAAGCTAGTCTAGCTCTTCACTGACCTTTTTGCCTTTATCCATAATTTTCTTGAAATTTCTAATAAAGCCATCGCAATTTCTGCACATTTGAAGAGAATTTTGATAATCTAGCTGAGAGTTAGTACTACTGCTTCCTGTTATCTAGCTAACTGGAACTCCACTAGTAGCAAGAATAGTCGACTGCATTTTGCTTAATGTGTCCAGATAATCTTTAGCTATTTGGCTAATAAAATAACTGGTTCCTATTTGTCTGCTAGCATATGTACTGGCTGACTCAAAATCATAAAATCCTTTAAATTGAGGTGTAGGAAAATTTTTAACCAAAGGTTCAACTTCTATCCAGTCATGGTAAATACCAAGCTTGGCTCCTTTAACTACTACATAGAAAGAAAAGCTTTTAGACAAAGGTTTATTTTGGATTTTTAAAAAATATATACTGAGAGAATTTAAAGCTGACAAACGTTTAGCTGGGTGGTTAAGGTTGTTCCAAAGGTTATCTAAAAGACACTGTTGAACTGGGTTTCGCTCAATTCCTATTAATGGTTTGAACTTGGTTCTGCCTTCATAAATGGGAAGAGCAAATCTCCCAAAGTTCATAGTTTTGCTATTTTTCATTATCTGCACAAAAATTAAACTGGTTATTTTCTTTTTCTAAATAAATTTTCCTACTTAACCAATCTGTTAACTTATTATCACTTCCTTTAATATGTTCAAATTCTACCTTATATCCTTGTCCTACTATACAATCTAAAATTTTTGCATATCTTCTACTACTAACTTTATGCTCATTAAGTTTATTGTGAAATTTAACTATAGCTTCGCAGTCTGTTCTAATTTTAAAAGGCTTGTGTAAAAATAATTTAAATTTGTTTATTGCATATACTACTCCTAATATTTCAAAATCTAAACTAGTCATAGTTGTATCTTTTTCTTTAAATTTTCCAGAGTTATATCTACAAATGCGCTCTTTATTTTTACTATCATATTTGCTAAGTTTAGCTAATAGTATTGCTCCTCATCCTAATTGGCTTGCATCAGTTTCTACGACTATATATTCTTATTCTAATGGAAGTTGCAAGTCAGGTAAATTTCTACAAATATCTTTAAGTTTTCTTACTAAAGTTATATCTTATTGGTTAAAATATTTTTGTCTTGTAGGTGTAGTCTTGCTATATAAAGGTCCTATTATCTTGTTAAGGTTAGGAATGTACATCCATGCATAATTTAGAATTTCTAAAAATGATTGAAGTTGTTTTATATCTTCTAATTTCTCTGGGTAATCTAAAATTTTCTTAACTATGTGGGGTTGTAGTATGATTTTTCCATCTCCTAACTCCATTCCTAAAAATTCTATATGAGATTTATTCAATACCATTTTTCTTTTACTAATTATTATTCCATTGTTTATAAATTCTTCTAACACTATAAATAAATAATCTATGTGGTTATTTTTATTTAGGCTAAATACTAATATATTATCTATATACACCAATACAAAACTATATTTGTTGAATATACTATCCATTTCACGCTAAAATATGGAAGGTGCATTTTTAAGTCTAAAAGGTATGACTAGCAATTCATAATGTCCTTGTGAACAACAAAAGGTTATCCAAGGTATGCTTTTCTTTTTCATTTTTATTTGCCGAAAACCTGACTTGCAATCAAATTTGTTAAATATTCTTGTTGTCTGTATTCTATTTATAAGCTTATCTTTATCTGGTATATTGTATTTATCATCTTTTGTGTTATCATTTAATCTCTTATAATTTATAACCATTCTACCTTTCCCTCTTTTTATCTCTGCATGATTTCTTACCATAAATGCGGCGCTTTTATATGGACTATTACTAGGTCAAATTACTCCTAAATTAACTTCTTAATCTGTATTCTAAATTCTTCTATATCTGCTGGC